TTTCATTGCTTCGGCGGTCATTATCCTTCTTTTTTTAATGCATTTCTGTTTATTCAGAGAGAATCCGCATCCGTTCGATCCATCAACAAATCCTCAGCTACTTCCACCGACTCATTCCTGGTCCATTGCGCATTATGTAAATCATTTGCCGGTACTACAAGTGCTGGTCGAGTTGGGCATGAATTTGTTCGAGGTATGTGGTGCTTGCTAGTGCTGTGTGACCCCTACAGCAGCTTTTTTTTTCCATTTTGCCTGTGAAGTAATTTGTCATTTAGGAAATATGTGCTTGATTATCCGTTTGAGGATTTTACGCTTTTGTTTTAATCCCAAAATCCCTTTTGTTTACGTGGGTGCAAGATTTTTAATCGCGAAGTTTACACTCGAATCGAAGTATTTTTCGACGAATATTCGAGAGGTGAGCAAACGGGTTTCAGAAACCGGCCTCCGTTGCTGCGGTAACTTGATTGAGAGAAATCTTCAGAAATCACAAAACTTCGTCATGCTTGGCTATTCTTCCATTTCGGTGGAACACGATGCTGGTTAGGTCAAGGGATCGATTTGATATTCATCCGGATTTTTCAAAGCTCCTCAACAGATCTTTTTCAGAAACTAGGCTTTTCGAAAGAAAACTAAAAAATATGAAGCGTGACAAAATTTGTACTTTGGAAGCCTTGCCAGCACACTTAAAAAGATTTTGTAAAGAAATTGAACAACAAAATTTTTTGTATTTGCTGTCGGATGCTGGAATGCTTATTTTGTGGATGAGAATCTGCTTCTCTTAAAAAATCTACAAGTTTTACACTTGTGAGTTCTTTAAGACCTTAAATCCACGGTAGACAGACGGATTGGATGAAGTACCCCCACATTGTCTACAGTTCGATATGAGTCGTGAAAGTCTCTCTGTAGCTCATCAGGCAAATTATTTTTCCGGCACTAACATAATATCGAGTGCGAAAGGAATGCTTTTATTTTTTTCCCCGCTGTGTTAGCGGTACTGTGGTAGCAAAACATGGCGTACGTTTGTTCACTGTAGACTTAAGATGCAACGTTTGCTGTTCAAATGAAAAGTTATCGGTACCCCAGTATAGAATGACGCTGATAACCGTTAACATTTTGTACTCATCTTCAGTGGGTTAATCTTAATATCTACTAATTCCAATTACCACAGTCGTCGTATTGGCGAAGTTCAATTGTGGCAATGGCAAGAAATGTATACGACTTAATGGACCGAAACATTTCTTACCATTAAAATAACTTTATTGATTTACAAATTTTGTAATTCTCATCTCTTACCTTCCTTCTGTTCATCTCTTTTCACCCGTTTTTAATATACTTTCCTATTAATATGACTTCTTATTACTGCGACCGTTATGTTTATGAGCGGTATTATCAAGGCAATGAGCGTTAGAAACAAGAACTGAGTTGACCGTTCAGTAAGAACTGGGAAATTATGTGAACGAGAAAGGCCTAAAATAAAAAAGACAAAATTGCTAGCTGCATGTATGGTGAAAAGACGCCCGGCGATGCAAAAACAGCTTTTTTCAGACTCACCGCAATAACTCAAACGAAATTTATTCCTCAGAAGTCTAGCTACACAATATTGGCGTTTTTGACACATTTTCTTAATCCTAACTTGTTTATGTATGTATGTGTGTTTGTGTGTGTGTTTTTGTGTGTGTGTGCGTATGTGTGTGTGTCTTTGTGTGTGTGATAAACACCAATTTCTTACATTTTCTTCAAAGACAATTTAGTTAGAGGACTTAGTTCATTTTTCATTTTTTAGTTTATTTAGTTCATTTTAGTTCATTTTTAGACAATTTAGTTTGTTTTTTAAAATAAGCGGTTGACGATTCGCCTCTATTTTGATCTTTTGGCTAACATAGATGCACTCAGTGTATGAGTTCATTACAGTGCAACACGGACAATTATACCGATAATGCAGACAGCTCCACACTGTCTAAAATCTTTCAGTTTTGAGCTTTGAGCCTTAGCTGAATTTGTCAGTCGTTTCACTGAGTGTCGTAAATGTGTAGTTGTTGTTTAGGTTGATTCATCGACTCGTATTGGCCATCAGCTAGTGAAACTGGATTGGGAACGTGATGTACGGCCAAAGCTTGTC